TCCGCATCGAGAAAACCCCGCGCTTCGACCGTGCATAGCGCTTTTCAGGATGGGTATTGCTTGCGTGGGGGGTTGGTCATCAAGAGTCTGCATGAGTTCTTTCAACTTACCAGCTGTGTTTATGTGGCGTCCAGGTCTCAGGCTTGCAGGTACGTCAGGAAGGGAGACGGATCAAAAAGAACGCAGCGAGATCAAGCAAAAGCAAACCGAGTAAAGGAACAAGAATGTATCAAACAAGGAAGGAAGGAAGGAAGGAAGGTTCCCCGCTGCGTCACCGATTGAATTTACCTTACCATGCAAGATCCACATCCTGGTTGGGGGAGGTTGACCCCATGCCCTTCGGAGGAACGAAGAGAAGATTGCATACACTTATACGCTTTCAAATACTTTCAGCAAAGACCTTCACTCATATCATAATATATACCTGGATCTTCCAACTATGCCACATGTTTTTAAACGAAAAGGTGGAAATGTCACACAGCTGGAAGATAAATACAATGTCCAGTCTCTGGCACAGATATGTTGAGAGTCAAAAGGTGACGGTTACCCCCCGTGAGCAGAATGCCTTTGTGTTGCGTGCAGGCAACAATCCTGGGCATCCTAGCGGGTCATTCTCCCTGTGCACCGACTCACGGTCCCCGGGGGCGGCAAGCCCGCAAGCACAGTCCCGGGGGATCTGCCACCGTTGTGACCGAGGTGCCAGCCGCACGCTTGACCTTCTTCAGCTATGTGATCCTCCTCCACGCCTGGGTGCGGAGCACCAAGAAGGGTCTTGGGTGCAGAACATGCAGCGTTGTTGCGAGGTTTGGGAGACCGAGAGACCCTTCCATTGCAGAGGACTCGATGAATTGCGTTGGACCGAGACCGAGGGCTCTTTCCAACTTCTGGCTGATGTTTGTTGAACAATCATTGGACGTCCGATGATTGCTTCAAGGAAGGAGGTTTCGGCTTGTTGCTTGGCTGAGCTTGTTGCATGTTGTTGCTTGTTGTTTGGTGATGTTTGGTGTATTGTTGGGAAGCTGGAGCTGGGTTTATGGAAGTTCTCGGAGGCCGACGATCCACAAGAATGGTATGTTTGTGCTTTGGTGTCACACAGATCCAGCACTTGCATTGAGCAATATTTCCAGATCCAAAATGAAGTCACTTAGGACAGCCAAGAGACACACACCTCGGACAAATTTCCATGCGTCTCCGTGGTCAAGGAGGTTTTTGAAAACTGAGTGATCTAGGTGGTTCAAGCTCAGGCTATACAATGTTTAAAGCAGATCACTCACACAAATCCAAACAGAGGTTCCGGTGACAGTATACGGTTGATGTCAGTCAGAGACCAGTGGTCCTAAGGGAAATGAAAAACCTGTTCAAGTCAACGTGGCCATTTCAATCCACTCACCAAATCTTCGGCAAAGGTAAACAGTGTCGGGACACTTTGTCCTGAGTTAGGAACCTGAATTTTCACAGAGATCGACTCGACAAATACGTTTTTCATTGTAAATCATCCAGGTGTTCAATATTGCGAAAGCCAGCCTTCGTAGAAGATGTAGAAAGCACCAGCTGAGTTGTGTTTGGCAAACGAAGTGAGTAAGTAGGGGGTCTGGGGGGGTGGCGCGAGAAAGCACCACGTAAACTCGAAATTAGGTGGTGTTTAGGGGTGCACGGAAGCAAGGTTTTGGAGGTTGTGTTGGAGGTGATTTTTTGTGATTTTTGAGCGGCTGGTGATGTAAGAAATGCAGTTTTCTTCATCTGCATCATCTGCATGGTAAGGTGTAGTTTTACCGAGGCCGATGTGTTGTAGCTTCGTGCAGCTGTGAATGCGTAACCTCTTACACACCTATATAAGTTCAAAGCACTAATGAGACTTCAAATCCGTGGCTTGCTACACATTTCTCCAGGTTATGTAGCGGTTGACGGAAAGGGAAATTGACGTGCTAGACCTGGCAACTGCCTTGTAGCTGCCCTGGGTCCGCGCGCACGCGCGCGCCTAAATCTAGGGCAGACCGGGAGCCAGCAAGGCACGCGTGCGCGGACCCAGGGTAGCGGACCCAGGGTAGCTACAGCTGCGCTTTTACTATCTCTCTTCACAACGTGCTCGTCGACAAAAACGCTGGCTTTCGTTTTGCAGCTTCTCAGGTCAATACATCTTACTGTAAGTTGACATCCAATCCAATATATGACATCCCTTGCCCCCTATTTACTTACTACGCATGCATCAGGGCTCAATGCCACAAGAGAGCTCACAATGACACGTCCGTCACTGAGGTCTTGTTCATCCTCCAGCAAATGGCTCTCCATCCCTCCTCCTCCTCCTCATCTTGAGCTGAAACGGCTCGCGACAAAGCAAAAAGAAAAAGAACTCAACAAAAGCATCCACGAAAGAGTCTCCCTGGAAGAGTTCAGTCTTCAGGATTGGAGCTGAAGGGACTTTTTGGGGTTCTCTTTAGGGAGTTGGATGCGTCCTTGTTTCGAGGTGTGTTGATGTGCATTTTTTCTTTAATCATTCGATTGAACATAAGACATGAGCAGGATTTCTGCTGTTGGCAGGAAAGATTCTTGAAGCATCTTGAAGCGTTCGATCCAAAAGCTACAGCTACAGCTCTTCTCTCCAACACGTCTCAGTTGGGGAATGATTCGCCGTATCGCTCAAGTGTGCGTTTGAAACCATTTTGTCAATTGGGAATCAGTATACTGATAATATTGTGATGTATTGTGTATGTGCCGGCAAAAACATTGCGATGCCGCCCCTAGGGGTTGTGAAATCATGCATAAAGCCAGTTGCCAATGAAAGCCTCCACAAGTTATTGGGGATTCAACTGAATGATCCTCTATTTGCCAGTCGATGAGAATTCGGAGAAGAGAAACTGCCAAATCATCAAAGGCTCGAGTCCAGCGCATCAAGTGCATCGAACGAACTCTGGTTTCATGGGAGTCCATACCTACAAACCCTTTTTTTCGATGATATAAAAAAATACCAAAACAATGTTATATGACAGAATCCCAAAGCAGTTTGTGCGTGTTTTTGTGTTGTGCGTTTTTTTGTGGACCAAACAAGCAACCGGATACTCCTATTAAGTAGGCCGCTTTTTCCGCGCCGGCCACGGGTTACTTCGATCATCAAAGCACGCCGGTCGGTCGGCTTCGTCGTCTTGCGGTGAAACCACCAGGCTGGGAAGGGCGATGTGAGGGATGTTGAAGGATCTATCAGGGAAAGACCCTAGGGATCCAGTCGTGCCGAACCTCAGGTTCGGTGTGGCCCCAACAATGGCACCTACACTAGTTATGTGTCTCCAATCACTGACAAGGTACTTGGATCCCTATAGGGAAATGAAAGGAGAACAAAAAATGAAACTATAAATGACTTTGACTTTCAAGCTGTCCGTGGGCTGAGACCGCCAGCTAGGAGTCTTAAGGAAAGAATGCAAAAGCATCAAACAACTATCAAAGTAACTGAATTAGACAGGGTTTGGGAAGGAGACTGGAAACCCCTGCATTCGACGGGAGTTACGCAAATGCTGCTCTGGTTGGACAAGTTCTTGTTTTGTGTTGTGGACCACAGAGATCATGATAGCGTCCTTGTTCCTAGTAGTAAGGCCAGGAGCCCCGTTCGTAGCGTCCTCTATACCTCATGAGTCAATACGCATTCGGCCCTCAATGCGAACGATTGTAGATCTTGCACCTGTTGTTCCCAGCAAGTTGTGGTGGGTCATCCTGCAGGTTTGGTGCGCAGAACCGACCATGCGAACGAAATGGTGGAATTCGTTCGTTGGACCTCAACTTTTGGCAGCAGAAATTCTCCGTGTTCTGCAACCATCCCCCCCTTGGGGCAAAACGCTTAAACGCAGAGGTGGTGCATGGCATGGCAGGCACCCAGTCTGGGTGGGGTTGTGTGATGCTGGGTGTACTCAGTGGTCTGGTCACTTGAGGCCGATGCCCAGACCAGTTGCACTCAGCAGGTTGTACTTTTGGGCCAGCGAGATGAATCTACCAACGTTTGGAGAATAGACCTTTGATGAGCTCTCCAAATGAACAAGTTCAAGCACGTGGTGCAGTTCTTCGGGCGAGCAAAAGGGATCCCTTATTTAAATGAGATTCTGATGTATCCAGATCCACTCGATACTACACTCAGGAATAATCATGGTTATGTGGAATAATCAAAAGACTCAGATATCTAATCACTTTTACAAAACATCTCGGTGGTGAACTCCACCTGCCCTCGGAGTTCAGGCTTCGTACGTCAGGGGCATGCCGGGCATGTCCATTTCACCCTTGGGGGAACATCCACCTGGATTCCTCTCGATGTCTCTGATCCTCGGTGCACATCGATCCTCTTCGGCTCCAGCGGTCCAATTCTTCGGATCTCCCGTTGAGAGCTGACGGAGCGAGAGAAACCATGGGCACCGTGGTCAGAGAGTGCAAGGCACGCACGGCGGCGCAGAGAGCGGCGCATTGGCACGTCAAAACGGTTCAGATCCTCTTGGTTGACTTTGGCATTAAAGCAAATGAGATTCTCACGCTTGGCTTAGTGCTTCTGCAAAATTAGCCGATGGAAAAGAAAAGGCTATCCAGTACGCAACAACTGTGACTTTGCGTCATGTCGTGACCTTTTTGTGAGGCAGGGTTGGCCAATGACATTGTCCTTTGTCATCAGCATGTTTCGTTTGTTTCGCTTCCACCAAGTAACTTAGTACTGGCCTGTAATTGCTACTGTCCTGTAGGAGCCAACGCCTTCACCACCTCCCTGTTGTTCCCTTGACTGACCGTTGATCTACTTGGGTCCTGGGATGGTCGGGATGACAGAGGCATCTTCCATGTTTGGCCAGCGCCAAGCACCCCTTCGTGCGCAGCCGGCGGGGTGGGTGGGAGGTTTGGGCTGAGTCGGGGTGGCGGGGAGGAATCGCAATTTTTGGAAGTTCATCGGTTGCATCCTAGCAAGGCCCGTGTTTTGAGGGACGTGAAGAAGACAACTCTCCACAGTGTGAACTGAACGCTTTCAGATTTGGTCATCCTCAAATATGGTTTCTGGGAAGGAACCAAGGAACCATTCAAGCTGACCTTATTGTTATTTCACCTTCTCCTTGACGCTGGTACAGGGATTGTTTACACGACATGAAAATGTTTGCCAACTCAGACAGCATGTTCACTGTCTTGTGTCTTTCAAGCTACATCTTGGCCGCCTACAAAAAATCACAGACATTTTAGGTACTTACAAATTATCTGATCCACTAGTAACTCATACTGGTGCTTGCCTCAAAACGAGCAACAAGGATTGGGGATTTTTCGCTGGGCATTCGCTCTTTTTTTGAGTAGAACCGTGATCTCTTCCGGAATTCTCGTGATCCACAGGATGCCCTTGGGTATTTCCTTGTATCAAAAAGCGTGTCTCCAATCTGAGTATTCTCTGTGAAGATGTGCCCAATGATTGTAATGTCAACTCCTGATTAATAAACCGCCCCCCCTCCCCCCCCCACAACAAGGTCAAGAAGATATGAGATACCAGTCATGAGGTTCACCTCCCCTGAATAATGCGTTATGAGACCATAGGACCATGAAGGATGACACCAGGCTTTGAGGGGATGAGCTGATGAGCATGCGGCCAGAGTCCATATAGGAAGCATTGAGTTCATAGTAGTAGTAGTAGTAGTAGTAGTAGTAGTAGTAGTAGTAGTAGTAGTAGTAGTAGTAGTAGTAGTAGTAGTAGTAGTAGTGGTAGTGGTAGTGGTAGTGGTAGTGGTAGTGGTAGTAGTAGTCGTCGTCGTCGTAGTAGTAGTAGTAATAGTAGTCGTCGTCGTCGTAGTAGTAGTAGTAGTGGTCCGGCCCATGTGAGGGGTACCCTTTGTGAGCTTGTGAAAAGATTGTGTTTTAATTGCTTTTTAAGAAGGATTTCATCAAAAAGTAGTATGTAGATGGATGTAGTAGGTGGTAGGTGGTAGGTGGTGGCCGTCGTCGTCGTCGTAGTAGTAGCAGCAGCAGCAGAAGCAGTAGCTAGCAGCAGCTAACAGCAGCAGCAGCAGCAGCAGGAGGAGGAGGAGGAGTAGGAGTAGGAGTAGGAGTAGTAGTAGTAGTAGTAGAAGTAGAACGAAAATTTGACCTGGTTGTGGGTTCGGATTAACTGGGGGGGGGTTCTGGTACTCAACTAGACCATTAGGGGGGAATAAGCCACCAATACGATGTTTAATTTGGGCAATTTCTGGTGGTTTTGTGTGCTTGGATTAAATTTGGGAGGTATATTAATCGTGATTTTACATTATCCTGAAAAGTTTGGGGTGCTCTTGAACGACTTCTTCAAGTGGTGCTCTTCCATACAACTCTCAAAACTGACACCAGAACTGGCACCACACAACTCTCAGGCACATTTGTTCAGAACACATAGTTGTTCCACTTCTGTCATAATTACGAGTTTATTGGAGAACAAGAATTTGATTCACAAAAAGAACATTGTTTTAGCTTTGGTTTATTTTATCAGTTCCCGTACAACGACGCCCGTGTTCTCCCTGTTTTTTCGTTTCCACCGAGCGCCAGGTGACTGACGAGATGCGCCAGCGCGTGTCCACCCTGAGGGCCTTGGGCCTTGAACCGCCCAGCCCGGGGACTCGGTGGTCGTCCGGGTGCCCCGTCCATTGCGGGGGTTTAAGGAATCCATTGTGTTTTATGTTTCAGGGTGGTAGAATGATGTAGAATGGGCTGCTTTTTGGTGGTAGAATGGGTTGTTGTTTCATGACTTCAGGTTGTTTTTTCCAATGCAGTCTGACAGGGCAACCACGGGGCACCACTGGCATTGAGATGAGGAAACAGCTGCTTTGGCACACTGGTCTTTAGAGACTTTTGCGCAAGAAAAACACCGCCGCAGGACGTGCGGTGAACGGGTGAGCCGTGGACGTGAGCCCTTTCACCGCACAGGTGTTGGGAATGTGGAATTGAAGCATGAGAGATGGGAGGCCTGATGAAGATCTTGAGATGGGAGGCCTCACCTGCGTCGCTTGCCTTTTGACATGGGATCAACAAAAACTAACAGGGAGTTCCTCCAAACATCACCAAAGCATGTGTGCTAGGGATTTGTTTTTCTACTAGTAGCTAGAAGCTACTAGGTGCAGGCCATCGCTATTGGGTTGGAGGCCATCGCTACTAGTAACAAGAAGCTACTAGTAGCGATTTGAATGAGGAATCTGAACCAGAATACTCAGATCCCTAGTCTAGTCCCTACGATCTCCTGTGCCTCGACGTTCAAGTCCAACTGACTGCACCCATGTTCGGTCGCACGGTCTGGGATGATGGTCTCCGCATTGACGGAACAACGGAGTGGTCCTTCTCGGTGCGCATGACCCGAACAGGAATGCATGATAACTACCTGGACTACCTCTCATTGGTGTTTGTTGGGTGAGACTGACAGGTGTTCAGAAACCATGCACCTCTTAGGTCTTAGGTCGCATGTGCAATTTCAACGACCTGCCCACGCTTCCCACCTTGGCCCGAGGTGCTCGAAGCCTGCGCAGCTTTGCCCTGCGGAGTGGCGGACCATTGGCACCGCGCCAGGTGCGACCATTGCGGGCCGGTGCTGCTGGTTGGATCGTGATCCAACCGGGATGGGCTGATGACATGGATCAGTCCAACATGTAGCAAGTTCAGGTTGGAGCAGTCTTCGGGACTCTGATCCCCAAGACTGCCAAGGCCTTGAGGTTTCCGTCGTATTTGGGCGGGTTCCCTTTGAGGCAGTCGACGTCGGAGTGGGGTCTGGGTCCGAGCAAACGAGAAAAGCGGGCAAACGACCAAGGTCACCAAGTGATTTGAGAGGAGGTGGATCTCCCAATGCACCCAATGGCCATTACCAAGGTCACCCTCCCTCAAGAGGAAAATTGTCTTTCTGGCGTTTATATATGTTCCACTATGTTCCACTTATTCAGGGAGTGTAACTGACTCTATGCAGAAGATCCGCCAGCACCCGCCGGACCCCTACATGCCGGGACCCCGCCCCAGTCACGACAAATCACGGATTAGGGGTTCAAAGGCTCCCTTGACGCATTGGTGTACAATCTCCACAAGCAAGTGCGTACTTGGATCCTCAGTAGGTCTATTTGTGAAACATGTTGTATTAAAAACGATGTACATAAAATGTACTAAAAAGATCTATTTTACATGCCATGTTACTATATTATGTACTCAAAGTTTGAGTACTGGTTTGAGGCTTTGTTCGGGACCTGGTGCGCAGGTCGAGCTCAATGCCCTGGAGGGGAGCCACTTGGTAATATCCAGCCGCGGTTGTTCCTACCGCCGGGCCCAAGTGCTTTAGATGCTAAGCTGACATGGGAAAATGAGGATTTACCAGGTGTGCACAGTTTCCAGATGAGCCTTTGAGATTGTTTTTTGGAGAATGAACGGATCACTTTGGGGTTATTCCAGTGGAGAGATGGGAATCTTGGAAATCCCCTCAACGTTGTGTTAGCATGCTTTTATTCACCCTGTTTCGCACCACCAGCGGCAATTCCCTATATATAGACGCTGGAAGTATTGGAGAGACACTAACAAACACATGCTGAACATAGTGTGGATAATCCATGTAGCCCTGTACCTTGAGTGGTTTACCTGCATTTGATTTCTGTAGCTCACTGTGGGGGGGGTATTGGGATAGTATCGGCATTTCCCTTCTCAACAAGCCGAGCAATATTAACATAATATATACTGTAGATCAATTCAGATCATATTAGCCAGGTTGGTCGAGGTGTCTAGCTACCTCTTCATTTGGTGGTTGGACAAACGCTTCAAATCCTAATTTTAGATATTTGTTTTTTTTTTCGCGGAGTGGCTCACGACACTTGTGTTCTTCCAGTTGCAGAGGCAGGTGTTGTACGTCCTGGACTTGCCAACCAGATAATGTGTTTCCGGCCCGCCTCCTTTTCTCTGATGGATATATGATATATGATATACTCATATATATATATATAGGATAGTTAAAGTCTTTTCAATTGAGCCCGTTGCAGGAACACAGCCAACCATGTGATCCTCATGGCACTGGGCCGGCGAAGGAAGTATCGTGGGTCAACCGCCTGCAAGATGTATTTATCCACAAGACAAAGCTCCTAGGTCCTAGTAGCTTCTTGCTCCTAGTAGTACGGCCAGGAGCCCCGTTCGTAGCGTCCTTGCTCCGTTCGTAGCGATGCC